CAATTGTTTTGGACCAGAATTTGGGCAATGGTGGAGTGATAACAGGCCGTAATTGGGACGATTTTTTCCGCCTATTTTCATTATTCATCAGAGGTACTCACTGTGGACAGGATCAAACGTAGCGGCGAAGTCAACATGGTGGGCGGTCGTCTGTTGCTGGGGGACATGACAGAATTCGTGAATGTGTGGCCGCGGGAATATTTGGTCGACCCATTCACGCTCAGCTCGAAATGCGGCTTGATTGGGTCTCTTTGAGTCATGCATACTCTGGATTCGTCTAAGAAGGACTACGGCGAAGACCTTCGCAGCAGCGTTGATGAGGCTTGTGCCGCCGTAGTTCTCATACTCTGTCTTGTCTCCCTTCCTGAAAACAGGCACAAGAATGCCCGATCTCCAGTTATCAGGGACAGTTTTATCTTTCCACGCCTGACGAACCATCTCATGAAGTTAGAGCGCCAGTGCCGACAAAGGACTTGCAGGTTTAAGCTGGTTTGTCCTCTCCGGGCGCCTTGTTGTTATACAGCATCCGTGTTGCATCGACGACCTCTTCCTGAAGAGTGGGGTTACACGAGACCGCATAGGCTGGATAGGTAGGAAACGGCTGCAGAGGAAAGCGAGGGCATTGTGATTTGGTCATGGAAGTCATGAAGGCGCACGTAGTGCTCACACCAGCCCTCGACCTTTGCCGAGTTGTCAATCCGCCATTCACATCGTCAACGGAGTCACTCAGCGCAAAGGGCTCACTATTAAGTGGCGTGTTCCATGGAAGTCTATGTCTCAGCCCAATATTCCTACCCGTCATCCCTAGCTGAATTTGCTGTCATTCTCCGGAGTTGGCGGAGGTAATCATCGTTACGGGACCTGGCAAGAGCTGTGTGGGCAGACAACGGCAAAGTTCTTTCCGATACAGTCACCGGGGCGCCGCTAGGCAACTCCAAGAACTCCCCGCTGTCTGGACTGATTTACCGAATGATGATCATTGGCTACCTCCTTCGTCTGAGGCCATAGAACGAGACTGGATTTCTGTGTTCAGAGCCTCAATAGTGCCTGATTATCGACGTTGTTGCGGCATCATGGCGCCTCGGATGTGTTATTTTTTAGTGGGAATAAGCCATGGAATTTCGAGGTGTGTGAACAAGAGCGTGGTCTGACGCATGTGTGTTATTATTTCCGACACTACCCATCGGTCTGTTATCGGAGATCCAACTGGGCAACCTTGAATCAGCTAGAGTGTAGTCAATCCGACTGGCCATATTGCCGTCGCTTGCGTACCAGGTTACCAGATGTTTGTGGCGATGCTGGGTGCACGTGTTGATTACAAAGTCGGTTCTCGTCAATAGAGTTCAGCATCTTATCACTACCGTTCAATCGAGATCCAAGCCCAGAGCAGCCAATCAGTTGACTGTTGGAAGAGTACCGGGTGTACTCCGGCCATTGCAGTCCTTAGCAACGATCAGCAAATCAGGGCGAGAGATTCTTTGAACCAATTCTGGTAGCTGGAAGTGGTGAATTTTTCGTTGCGCCATCTGCGCGCTGATATTAGTTCGTACCCGAAGACGACAGAGATGTTCGTAAGACAATCTTCACTCGCACGTAAACCTTCCAGCCATTTACTGATTCTCACGCAAGTATTGCATGGTTAGCTTGTGGCGAGAGGACGATCGCCATACCGTGTCTACTGGAGTTGCGTAGGCTGCTGCGGTATTAGATGACGTGAGAGTTGATTCCCAGGATTTTTATTTCCCGAGCGCCTCTGCCGTGGATTCGGCCTTCTGACAGGCAACAGACATTCGCGTTGTAATGGTGAAGACAGCACACTGACAGACGTTGAACCACAGAGCCTAGAAGCGTTCGCACATTCCTGCATCCAGCATCAAGAGTCCGTTTCTGATTTAGTAGTCCTGCTAGGATACTACTCGCCCACATCACTTGACTAAGGTTTCGGAGTACGGCGGTCCCGACGGACACCATTTCATGGGTCGAAATACTATGATCGAACATCTCCATGAGGTTTCTTGGGGATTTTTAGTACAAGCTGGTTACCAAAAGTCGCTCAGATTCTTTGTTCGAGGTTGTATTCTCTGAAGCTTTGGTTCAAGAACCTAAGCACAAAGCAACGGTGACAAAGAGATTTAAGGGCTGTTGACTGTCACCGTTCAATATCGTAATAGGACTTTGCGGCATTGTATAAGGCTGCCGGAGCGCCAGCCCTCCACGCCCTGATAACATTGTGGCTGCTAGTTTACGATCTTCGCTGATGGGCGTTCCACTATCCTCCACTGGTAAACGCGCGGGATAACTCATCTTCCAGGTCTGCATTTACGAATTTGCCGCTCAGATTGAATCCTTCCGGCGTTCTGAGAGCGTTCTTCTTTTCATCGACTCGTGGATGTTTTTCACATAAAGCCTTATGCCTTCGGGAGCTTTTCTTGTGCCAACGAATCTTAGCGTCTATTCAGTTTCGTCGCCTAAGATCTCATTTCCGGACACCGACTTTTTCTACCCGTCGCTGGACAGGGCGTCCGTCGCCCATCGGAGCTGGGTTATACGCGAACTCTCCTCAATGAATATCATTCAGCATGCAACGGCAGGTCACCGCCATCAGCAAGGACATGTCGACTCGTCGATTCTATCATTTTGTTGATATTGAGAAGTTGAGGTAGTGCTGAAACTGAGAACGGGAGTTATATAGCTCTGAACAGGAAATGGTTGCGTTGCCTACGTTCCACACATTGTAGTAGACGACTATCTGTTCAGGCAGACGCGTGCGACCTTTTGATTCCGCCAAAACTTCTGAAATAGCCTTGAGGTCAGTCTGAGGATCTGGCTGCGAGCATGCGGACTTCTGTCAAGATGCTTCTTCCATACGAATGTGGAACATTAAGAGTGCCCTGAGAACATTACCACCGCCTAGAGGTATTAGATTCTTTTCGCCCACCGCCTGTCCAACCAAAGCCTCTATAGTCTGCCAGGAATTGAATCCGTCATCTGCGTCATCTTCCGGCGTGTTATCCCTCCCGGATCGTGTCCTAACAGGCTAGAATGTCAGTGTGCTTAACTGAAGATCTGGGTGGGTAGTATAAAAGGTGCTCCTGTCCCCTATCTGACCTCGCAGTCGGCCGGGCCAACTGATCCAACCTCGCACAGTCCGTCGTTAACCGACTGTAATAAAAAATAGACAGCGTCAGATCCGACTGACTTACGGCGTATAGTTGGCTGAATCAGTCATCGTGACATCCGTCACGATCGCAAGCACTAGCATGGGACCAATTATAACAAACCACTTCATAGTCCCCTCACAGAATGCGAGTTTCGTGTGTAGCGTCTATTTGGATCAGATTTTCTGGAAACAGTATGTTTCTTACGATAACATTTGAATCCTCTGCATGCGTACTTGCGCGGTCTCGATGTAGTTTCGAAAATTGCCTGGCTTCTCCGTAGATTCCCCTATGTCCCTGTCCTAGACAAAGCGCATTTGCCCACCAGAGGCCGACTGAGCTATTGGGAGCCTGTGCTAGGAACTTATTATCGGAAGCATTTCGAATTCATTTTTTGCAGGAGAAGTAGTGCCCGGGGGTTTAGACACCAGAGGTTGCGCATAAAGCAGAGTGGACAGTTGATCTTCGTCACAGGTTTGACAAGCTCGATCACGAAAAGTTGTCCGCGCTGCAGACAGCGACAACACACTGACCTGTGCTCAATGCGGTATTTATAGGTCGCACTGGCGTAAGCGTCAGGCGATTAGAGATTTTTTTTTTACGTGCACTTAAGATGTTAGCTGTGTTGGCGCATTTGTTTTCCGTCTGTGCCTGACGACGACTCGGGGAACCGGCGTCGAAAATTTCCACAATAAACTTCCTTTCCCAAAGCACACATTCGACTTCGACATATATATATATTAATTGGGATAACACCGAGGTCATCGCCACGGCCAACACAAAACGGGCGAGAGAATTCCTAGAGGCATGGCACTC